TGATACTGGGCAAGGGTACTTACCTGCCCTTGAATTTGTTTTGGCTATAACTGTAGTGATACTGGGCCAGGGTACTTACATCCCCTTGCATTTGTTTTGGCTATAACTGTAGTGATACTGGGCCAGAGTACTTACCTTCCCTTACATTTGTTTTGGCTATAACTGTAGTGATACTGGGCCAGGGTACTTACCTCCCCTTAAATTTGTTTTGGCTATAACTGTAATGATACCTGGCCAGGTTACTTACCTCCCCTTAAATTTGTTTTGGCTATAACTCTAGTGATATGGGGCCAGGGTACTTACCTCCCCTTAAGTTTTGTTTTGGCTATAACTGTAATGATACTGGGCCAGGGTACTTACCTGCCCTTAAATTTGTTTTGGCTATAACTGTAATGACACTGGGCCGGGGTACTTACATCCCCTTAAATTTGTTTTTGCTGTTACTATAGTGATATAAGGCCAGGATAATTACCTCCCCTTAAATTTGTTTTGGCTATAACTGTAGTGATACTGGGCCAGGGTACTTACCTGCCCCTATATTTGTTTTGGCTATAACTGTAGTGACACTGGGCCAGGTTACTTACCTCCCCTTAATTGGCTATAACTGTAATGATACCTGGCCAGGTTACTTAGCTCCCCTTAAATTTGTGTTGGCTATAACTCTAGTGATATGGGGCCAGGGTACTTTCCTCCCCTTAAGTTTTGTTTTGGCTCTAACTGTAATGATACTGGGCCAGGGTACTACATTTGTTTTGGCTATAACTGTAGTGATACTGGGCCAGGTTACTTACCTCCCCTTAATTGGCTATAACTGTAATGATACCTGGCCAGGTTACTTAGCTCCCCTTAAATTTGTGTTGGCTATAACTCTAGTGATATGGGGCCAGGGTACTTTCCTCCCCTTAAGTTTTGTTTTGGCTCTAACTGTAATGATACTGGGCCAGGGTACTTACCTGCCCTTAAAGTTGTTTTGGCTATAACTGTAATGATACTGGGCCGGGGGACTTACATCCCCTTAAATTTGTTTTTGCTGTTGCTATAGTGATATAAGGCCAGGATAATTACCTCCCCTTAGTACTTACCTCCCCTTAAATTTGTTTTGGGTATAACTGTAATGATACTGGGCCAGGGTATTTGCCTGCCCTTAAATTTGTTTTGGCTATAACGGTAATGATACTGGGCCGGGGTACTTACATCCCCCTAAATTTGTTTTTGCTGTTACTATAGTGATATAAGGCCAGGATAATTCCCTCCCCTTAAATTTGTTTTGGCTATAACTCTAGTGATATGGGGCCACTGGGCCAGGGTACTTACCTCCCCTTAATTTTGCTTTGGCTGTAACTGTAATGATACTTGGCCTGGGTACTTACCTCCCCTTAAATTTGTTTTTGCATTAACTGCAATGATACTTGGCCAGGTTACTTACCTCCCCTTAAATTTGTTTTGGCAATAACTCTAATGAAACTGGGCCAGGGTACTTACCTCCTCTTACATTTGTGTTGGCTATAACTGTAATTATACTGGGCCAGGGTACTTACCTCCCCTTACTTTTGCTTTGGCTGTAACTGTAATGATACTTGGCCTGGGTACTTACCTCCCCTTAAATTTGTTTTGGGTATAACTGTAATGATACTGGGCCAGGGTACTTAGCTCCCCTTACATTTGTTTTTGCTGTAACTGTAGTGATATTAGGCCCGTTTACTTACCTCCGCTTAAATTTGTTTTTGCTATAACTGTAGTGATACTGGGCCAGGGTACTTACCTGCCCTTAAATTTGTTTTGGCTATAACGGTAATGATACTGGGCCGGGGTACTTACATCCCCTTAAATTTGTTTTTGATGTTACTATAGTGATATAAGGCCAGGATAATTATCTCCCCTTAAATTTGTTTTGGCTATAACTGTAATGATCCTGGACCGGGGTACTTACATCCCCTTAAATTTGTTTGTGCTGTTACTATAGTGATATAAGGCCAGGATAATTATCTCCCCTTAAATTTGTTTTGGCTATAACTCTAGTGATATGGGGCCAGGGTACTTTCCTCCCCTTAAGTTTTGTTTTGGCTCTAACTGTAATGATACTGGGCCAGGGTACTTACCTCCTCTTACATTTGTGTTGGCTATAACTGTAACGATACTGGGCCAGGGTACTTACCTGCCCTTACATTTGTTTTGGCTATAACTGTAGTGATACTGGGCCAGGTTACTTACCTCCCCTTAATTGGCTATAACTGTAATGATACCTGGCCAGGTTACTTACCTCCCCTTAAATTTGTTTTTGCATTAACTGCAATGATACTTGGCCAGGTTACTTACCTCCCCTTACATTTGTGTTGGCTATAACTGTAATGATACTCGGTCGGGGTACTTACCTGCCCTTACATTTGTTTTGGCTATAACTGTAATGATACTGGGCAAGGGTACTTACCTGCCTTTAAATTTGTTTTGGCTATAACTGTAATGATGCTGGGCCGGGGTACTTACATCCCCTTAAATTTGTTTTTGATGTTACTATAGTGATATAAGGCCAGGATAATTACCTCCCCTTAGTACTTACCTCCCCTTAAATTTGTTTTGGCAATAACTCTAATGATACTGGGCCAGGGTACTTACCTCCTCTTACATTTGTGTTGGCTATAACTGTAATGATACTGGGCCAGGGTACTTACCTCCCCTTACATTTGTTTTGGCTATGACTGTAGTGATACTGGGCCAGGGTACATCCATGTCAAAGCTTCCAATGCGTAGTTACAAATTGGGCAGTATGTAGTACGGGATCCTTAAATAGGAAGCAATCTAATGATTTTGTCTTCTGAATGACTGTCAATTACAACAGCAGCATACTAACAAATCATTTCATCAAACAGAACCAATCTGGCATTGTAGAAGTATTGCAGATTTAAGGACGTTTGTGAGAATATTGGTGTTCTGCCTCTCTCATGAAATGAATGGTACTCAGTGGGCCACCTTTAACTGTTTTCTGTTGAGTAGAGGAGGCTTGTAAGATTGTAGTACAGTATACTGGATAAGTGTAAGTCAGACTGCTAGCAAGGCTTGGAGTCAGGTGCATGATGCCATCACCAACTGCTGTTCTACAGAGGGACCTTGATGTGACAAAGCTAATGGAGTTTGACCTGAACTACGTTGATGGTGATACCAGCATGTAGGTGGTTTGGGTAGGGGCGTACCTGCAGGGAGTCCCTACCAGAATATTAGCTGACAGTGTCAATGGTTAAGAATGATAATTTCGTCTTGTTATCGGCTTGAGCAAGACTTCGAGTTGAGCTGATATTAATGTTTTTGTATAAGGAGATTTTAAAAGGACACTGAGAATTAGAAATAAAGGATCTGTATTCAGTCTATTGATAAAGAGTTACAAACATAGGAACTGTAGCTACTGTTTATGTGTTTGGAAACAAGACATGTAACCCATGTTGCTCCAGTCTACACAGCTACAAAAATGGATACATGCTAGGAAGTAAGGTCTAAAAGCTTAGTATCCTTTCAGGAAGGTGAATATAACCGACCAAAACCAGGCTAGCACTGGCAAGGCTCTGTAGGCCACTACCTAGGCTTACCTCATTCACCCCTGAAATTTTATGATGGACTATTCCAACCTTTGAACTGGGGGTGAATGAGTTAATAAGCAAATAGCTTGGCTCAAAAGACTTACTTACAGGTGATGAAAGTTGACTTTAGCATGTATTATAACCTTGAAAATGTAGATGTAGGATTACAAGATTGACAACCCTTACATATCTATGTTAGATATCTGTTTGATTTCCAACACTGTTATTCTATTTACTGCTGACAGAATTAAAAAAAAAATAGAATTAAAAATGGTGCTAGGTAATGAATATTCTTAACAACACCTTTCTTTTAGTTACTACTAACAGAATTGAATCATTAGGAATTAGAAATCCTGAAATGGTGCTTAGAAATCCTGAAATGGCGCTAGGTAATGAATTTTCCTAACTATACTTTTACTCTGGTTACTGCTAAGGGAGTTGAATCATTAAGATATGGAAATGATGCTAGGTAGTGAGCCTCCTTAACATAACCCTGAAGATGTCTGCTGAATAGACAGAAATGTGATCTATAATTTATAACCTATACCAGCCACTTGTCTGGTTTCTGCCTTCCAGAACTTATACAGTATGCCTGGAGTTAAGTGTTAGTGTTGGTTCTATTCACAGATTACTCATAATATCGCATTGGAATATTGATCACTTCTTAATGTCAAATGATGTTTAAAAACCTGTATGTTGTGTGTTTTCCATGATTCCATCCTTTTTGTGTTGCGGAAAACTTTGTTGTGTTAACTCATTCACCCTTACATGTTTAAACTGGACTTTCCCAGCCTCTGATTTGGTGAGGTTCAAATGTGACTTTAGGGGTGAATGGGTTAACAGCGAATGATGTCCACATACGAGGGTGCTGGGATTAGAACGGGTGCTGACTATATTTGGTATTTACCTGTAGTTTTGTAAGGATATAGCACTATTGACATTTTACGCTGTATATAGTAAACTGGACAAATTACACTTCAGACATTTACACTAAACAATACACTGTAGATGTTTCACTGTACACATTTTACACTGCAGAACTTTCATACATCAGACCATTTAAACTAACCATATTACACTACATAAAATTATGTTATATTGTAAACAAATTACACTGTAGACAAATTAGTGTATACCTTTTGTATATTACACTATTACACATTGTATACTGCAGTTAATTAATACTGTAGACAGTTTACACTAATATGGGATTATGTTCGTTTGTATACAAATATCTTCAGAGCCAAGCTGTCAATTTAAGTAGCTCTTTTATCTAAACCTGCATATGTTATCAGTTAAGATTCATGAGGATTGAGACAGACACTTGCCCTCTATAGCCCCTGTAACTGTATGTTTTGTGTGGGTTATATATACACAGTTTTTGTGACTGCAATGTCAGCGCTAGCCTAATGTGACGTCACCGTCTCACTGCCCATCATCATCTCCACACCTTGTGTGTTGTGGTGACAGTGCTCAACGCAGGTGTTACGCACACACGTAGCTACAAACAGCTGATCAGCCATACACATGCGGTATTAGCCCCTCAACAGTGAGCTGCCCAGTGATCTGTATGTGTGTGTGTGAGAACTGCGCGTGTAACATCCTCTTGTAAAACACACAACCATTTCTCTCAAAATGAAGTCACATGTTCATTGGGACCAGTAAGTGCTTAGTTACACTTTCATTTTACTTAATTTTTTATATTTGAATATAACATATGTTATGATTTGATATTTTTTTCAACAGGTCAAATGAAACAGGTTATATAGTTTGATATTCCATTGATCACTCTAGATAGGTATGTATTGATTTTTGTTAGCAACTCAGCATTTGAAAATAATTTCCTGATTTCTTTATAATATTATCATATCAAATATATAAGAATATCTTTTGTATTGATAAGAAGATTTTCTGATGTGAACAAAACAGTTTTTGAGACAGAAGAGATTTGGGGTTAAAGTTGTTATCACATGTCATGGAAATAATATCCTGTATCAAATTGATTTTTTCTTATCTGGAAGTTTTTGTCTGAATAAACAGGATATCCGTGTACGTAGCTACAGACTGTCTTCACTCAAAACTAGTGGCATAACATATTTCAGTAAACTTACAAAAAATATTGCCTCCAGCAAGTTTAAATGTCTGTTTCTCAATATTTAGGGCACACTTTGATCTCTATTGCCTACATGGCGGTGTTGAATTTGTTGGTAGACTGTTGTGTATTGTTTGTAGGAGTGATTAATCTGGCCTGTATAATCACAGGTAATTTGTGGTATCACTAACAAACTATGTCACATCATTCTAGTATTACAAATTACTGTTTATATGATTTACAACACCCACCTGTAGTATCTGTCTGAAATAGTACATTTTTATTCAGGATTGTAAAGTTTAGAATACCACACTGAAGTGGTGTTTTGGGATATCTGTTTAAGGATATTGAACTGAAGTGGTGTTTTTGGATCTCTGTTTAAGGATATCTCAATGAAGTGGGGTTTTGGGATCTCTGTTTAAGGATATCTCACTGAATTGGTGTTTTTGGATCTCTGTTTAAGGATATCTTACTGAAGTGTGGTTTTGGGATCTCGGTTAAAGGATATCTCACACTGAAGTGGTGTTTTGGGATATCTGTTTAAGGATATAGAACTGAAGTGGTGTTTTTGGATCTCTGTTTAAGGATATCTTACTGAAGTGTGGTTTTGGGATCTCTGTTTAATGATATCTCACTGAAGTGTGGTTTTGGGATCCCTGTTTAATGATATCTCACTGAAGTGGGGTTTTGTGTCTCTGTTTAAGGATATCTCACTGAAGTGGTATTTTGAGATCTTTGTTTAATGATATCTCACTGAAGTAGGGTTTTGGGATCCCTGTTGAAGGATATCTCACTGAAGTGGGGTTTTGTGTCTCTGTTTAAGGATATCTCACTGAAGTGGGGTTTTGTGCCTCTGTTTAAGGATATCTCACTGAAGTGGGATTTTGAGATCTCTGTTTAAGGATATCTCAATGAAGTGGGGTTTTGGGATCCCTGTTTAATGATATCTCACTGAAGTGTGGTTTTAGGATCCCTGTTTAATGATATCTCACTGAAGTAGGGTTTTGGGATCCCTGTTGAAGGATGTCTCACTGAAGTGGGGTTTTGGGAGCCCTGTTTAAGGATATCTCACTGAATTCGTATTTTGAGATCTTTGTTTAATGATATCTCACTGAAGCGGGGTTTTGTGTCCCTGGTTAAGGATATCTCACTGAAGTGGTGTTTTGGGACCCCTGTTTAAGGATATCTCACTGAAGTGGTATTTTGAGATCTCTTTTTAATGATATCTCACTGAAGTGGGTTTTTGTGTCTCTGTTTAAGGATACCTCACTGAAGTGGGGTTTTGGGAGCCCTGTTTAAGGATATCTCACTGAAGTGGTGTTTTGGGACCCCTGTTTAAGGATATCTCACTGAATTCGTATTTTGAGATCTTTGTTTAATGATATCTCACTGAAGCGGGGTTTTGTGTCCCTGGTTAAGGATATCTCACTGAAGTGGTGTTTTGAGATCTTTGTTTAATGATATCTCACTGAAGCGGGGTTTTGTGTCCCTGGTTAAGGATATCTCACTGAAGTGGTGTTTTGAGATCTTTGTTTAATGATATCTCACTGAAGTGGGTTTTTGTGTCTCTGTTTAAGGATACCTCACTGAAGTGGGGTTTTGGGATCCCTGGTTAAGGATATTTCACTGAAGTGGGGTTTAGTGTCCCTGTTTAAGGATATCTCACTGAGGTGGTGTTTTGGGATCCCTGTTTAAGGATATCTCACTGACGTGGTGTTTTTGGATCTCTGTTTAAGGATATCTTACTGAAGTGGGGTTTTGGGATCCCCGTTTAAGGATATTTCACTGAAGTGGGGGTTTGTGTCCCTGTTTAAGGATATCTCACTGAAGAGGGATTTTGAGATCTCTGTTTAATGATATCTCACTGAAGCGGGGTTTTGTGTCCCTGGTTAAGGATATCTCACTGAAGTGGTGTTTTGAGATCTTTGTTTAATGATATCTCACTGAAGTGGGGTTTTGTGCCTCTGTTTAAGGATATCTCACTGAAGGGGTATTTTGAGATCTCTGTTTAAGGATATCTCACTGAAGTGGGATTTTGAGATCTCTGTTTAATGATATTTCACTGAAGTGGGGTTTTGTGTCCCTGTTTAAGGATATCTCACTGAAGTGGTGTTTTGGGATCCCTGTTTAAGGATATCTCACTGACGTGGTGTTTTTGGATCCCTGTTTAAGGATGTCTCACTGAAGTGGGGTTTTGGGATCTCTGTTTAAGGATATCTCAATGCAGTGGGGTTTTGGGATCTCTGTTTAAGGATATCTCACTGAAGTGGGTCTTTGGGATCATTTCAATGAAATGGGGTTTTGGGATCTCTGTTAAGGGATATCTAACTGAAGTGGTGTATTGGGATATCTGTTTAAGGATATCTAACTGAAGTTGTGTTTCGGGATCTATGTTAAAAAATATCTTACTGAAGTGGTATTTTGGGATCCCTGTTAATTGATGACAGTAACAAAGGTCACACATGACTTACATATAATGTCAATGATGACAATTACAAAGTTCACACATGACCTACATATAATGTCAATGATGACAGTAACCAAGGTCACACATGACCTATATATAATGTCAATGATGACAATTACAAAGTTCACAAATGACCTACATATAATGTCAATGATGACAGTAACAAAGTTCACACATGACCTACATATAATGTCAATGATGACAATTACAAAGTTCACAAATGACCTACATATAATGTCAATGATGACAGTAACCAAGGTCACACATGACCTACATATAATGTCAATGATGACAATTACAAAGTTCACAAATGACCTACATATAATGTCAATGATGACAGTAACCAAGGTCACACATGACCTACAAATAATGTCAATGATGACAGTAACCAAGGTCACACATGACTTACATATAATGTCATTGATGACAGTAACCAAGGTCACACATGACTTACATGCAATGTCAATGATGACAGTGACCAAGGTCACACATGACTTACATATAATGTCAATGATGACAGTGACCAAGGTCACACATGACTTACATATAATGTCAATGATGACAGTAACCAAGGTCACAAATGACTTACATGCAATGTGAATGATGACAGTGACAAAGATCACAAATGACTTACATGCAATGTGAATGATGACATTGACCAAGGTCACAAATGACCTACATATCATATATGACCCACATAATGTCACTGATTATCTACATATAAAAATAACAGAAGTTACCAAACTCACTCATGGCCTACACAGCAAAAGATTCAAAATTGGCTTTTTGTTTTAATTTGAATACAAGGTATGTCTTTATAGTCAGATAATCCGTTTTAATCTAAACATGGTCTCTTTGAATTAATTTGTCTGAATTTTCAAAGTTTTACTTTACTAAAAAAACAAATATCAATGGAATTCAGAGATTGTGAACTTTAAGGTAGACATAAAAAACATAGATGAGATAGAAGCTTGTTTACCTACTCCAACTCCGAACAAACCATCAATCTAATGCTGGCTTGTCACACAGCCAACTATTTATTATCATATTTGTCAAATGTCCCACGTCATAATAAGCTGAGGTGTTTTCGGCTGTCCTGACTAGATGTTAATGTTTGGAATACTTTCTCTATTGTATGTTTTAATTTCTCTATTGGATGTTTTAATTAAGTGATATAGACTTTGACAGACATTGAATGACACTGTTTGTAAATATAATCAAGTCTGTCAAGTGTTGACCGAATTCAAGAAATTCTGTGAATTGAAAAAAAAAAAAAAAAAAGCTTTAAATCAGTGTTCCCACCTAATTTTATAGATATTGGGGGTATATTTGAAATATTTACAAGATTCTGTACCCCTACTTACAAAGGACAATCCATGAAACTGGGTGTTACAACCAACTGTTTTGGTGGTGAACACCCTCATTTGTTTATCTGTCACTGTTGTTTACTCATCATTTTTAATGAATTTGATAGAAAGTGTCATCTCTGTATCAATAAAAAGGTTTGATTGCATATTTTTGAATTAGAGAAGTATTAGAGTTATTTAGGTTAATGGCTACTGTGAACACCTTAGGTCATTGGTATAATGTCACATTAGGTCAATTTTCCACTAAATGTAGCTTTAAAATGAATTTTGTGCATGCAGTCATTTACTGTATATCTGTACTGTTCACAAGTTGACACTCGTTAACTATCCTCAAAGTATTTACTATTTTATATTGGTAACATTTACTAAGGGATTTTGAAAAATGGGACCATAGACAATTTCAGACAAATCTGCGGGGGAAGAACCAAGGTAACGTATTGTGAAATTATCAAAAAATATTCGGATATGCAGGCTTTTCACTAACTTCTACTTGAACACACCGAATGACTTTTAACCAGCCAACTTTTGTAAAATTACATATGAACAGGCCAAAATGGAAACTGAACCGGTCATTTCAGCCTGCTGCCTGTTTTTAATGAAAACCCAGGATATGTAGTTGGTGTTATAATACAGAATTTTAGGACATTTGTGGCACAAATTATGCTGTGATAATGAAATTTGGTGACTTAATTTTTAATCCAAAAAGAAAACAATGAGTCTTATCTTATACAAGTTTGGCAAAAAGCAAATGGTGATATTTTTTGAATGTGAAAACATTTTTTAAACAAAAAAGTTGAATTGTATTGTTTGTGAATTATCTGGTGAAGACTGGAGCTGTTGGTTCCTGAATCTTCTTGCCATTCCAGACGTGTGGGGTTAATGACAAAACAGTCGAATGTAGAATATATCTATATTTGTTGTGGTTATTGTAAACCTGTCGAGTATTTGTTATCTATTGACTGGCAGTCTTTTTTTGCATTATCAAGGAACACACTGTTTGCATTAAGTTCTGAGATTAAATCTTTTCTGTCGTTTGTCTCCGAGCTGATTTTAAGGTCAATTGAATTCGACCAAGTTTCATACAACATTTTTAATGTTTTCATTGACTTAATTATTCTCATAATGAAAGCATTGCTTAAAACGATATTTCATAAATTCTCTTGCAAATCTTAAGAAATCTTTATATAATCCAGTTATACTGAGAATGATTTTGATAAATATATTTGAATTTTGAACACCATGGAAAAGTCAATGACTGACACTTAAGGACCCCTGTACCACTGCCAAGCTGTTTCAATGCTTTAGAAACTGTTCTTCCCAGCATGGCTGTAGCTTTAGACATTCATTTCTGAAAAGAAAACCATATCTTGTGGGACTTGTGTTAAAAAAAAAGCGAAACCACACTTTCAGATTGTTTTACTTTTGCTCTAACTGACTAAGCTACCTGGCCATTGGAAGTCTCCTGGCCCAACTGTGATACAGTTTGATTAAAAAAGAAATTCAGGCAAGGTTATCGATATAAGAAAAACCACAGAGCAGTGGGACAGGGTTCCTTAAGATAGAAACGTGTTGTGAAACGGAGTTGTTCCAATTGAATTAAGCACCTGTATAGCCAGTCAGCTTTTCATGTGTGTGGTGAGTACAAATTATGCAGGCGTTGTTGGCCTTTCATGGCTAGGCTATTTAATATCTTCCTGTTCTGCATATAAAGATGGTTTGTGCTGTCATTTACATTTTTATCAGGATTCTCATCAATATTTCACAAAACAAGAGTTTTTTTTCTTTAACTACAATATTTATCTGTTGAAAGTGCAACCAATTCATAAACTCTTTTTAAAAAATTATGTAACTTTAAGTATTAAGATTTGTTTAACTGGGTCCTAGATCTTAGAAAAAAATAGACACCAAATGTTACATTCTTCTTCCTATTATTTTTTTAGTGTTATTAAAAACATTTAGAAACCGAACGCACCTTGACTGCATGCATGCTTAAACATTTGGTAATGATTATCAGATTGAAGAATAAAATGTCAGATTACTGCCTTGAAGTGCAGACTTCTGACTTAATTACCACTTCATGAGATATAATAACTATATCTTAAAAAACGTGATAACTTGTATGATGTGTTAATATCATTGGTAAATGTTCTTGCATCAAATGGATTTTATATACTTTCTGATATACATAAATGGCCTTCTCTATAACGAACACACATGTGGACATATTTTATCAAAAGCGTACATATTCTAACCAAAAACATGGCTATACAAAATTGAAAACAATCTTGTTCATACAGACAACAATTGGGGAAAAAAATGACCTTATTAAAAAGTTGAACTTGGCGCAACTGATACCAGGTATTTCATTACTGAAGTATCATATATACCAAATCTAATGTCAGGTATCTTTTTCAGAGTGATGACTTCTCCAAATGGAGGTAACGATGAGTTATGGAGTAAACAAGGGGAGGCAACCCCGGAAAGTCTGCAACTCTTACCTGAAGCTGTGGTGTTGAATGGAAACAATGAATCACTACCTAGCGACGGCATTGATTCCAAGCATGCCTCCTACGACATCAACTTTCCAGGTAATCAAAATTTTGTGATTTGCCAATGGTATAATAAAAGTGGATATTGCAGAGGTGTTTCAATTGCAGCGTATATGTATATGTGTGACGGAGATTATGTGTAGATGGAGACTCTAAGCAGGGTAACCTTGGATATTGGAGTTACTCTTTTAACATATAGCTTTTCCTCTCATATGCAATGAATAAAAATCTAGCTGTTGTCGTCATTATTTCTCTGACTCTAAAAGTATTAAAACTATACTTTTTAATATTTTCATGGGGGGATATAACGCATGCTCAAAATTAAAAACATAAATAAAATGTGTGTATATACCCCTAGGGACAAAATTAACACTTTGAAATGGCATCTTTGAACTAATCTTTCAGATGAAATCATTAGATCTTATGAAATAGGAATTATAGTTTAACAATTTGCTGGTTAAAAAATGCTCCCATTCTCACACTAATATTAGCATAATATCTAGTCCTAAGTTCAGGTCAGTGATAACCCTTAAGGACAAGCTCAGGCCTACAGTTTTCAACAGGTTTCCTAATGAAGTGACTATATACATGCAGGCAGTAGTCAGAGATGACCCTAAGTGGCTACATACTCACAGTGGTCAACTGCTATGACCCTTATTAAGTAGCCATACTTACAGAAGACAGATATGACCCTTATGAAGTTGCTTTAATTAAAAAATAATCAAAGATGTCCCTTATACAGTTGCTATATTGAACAGTGATCAAAGATGATCGTAATGAAAAGGCTGTACTGACAGTGATCACAGATTACCCTGATTAAATAGCTGTTTTGACAGTGATCAAAGATGACCCTGATTAAATAGCTGTACTGACAGTGATCAAAGATGACCCTGATTAAATAGCTGTACTGACAGTGATCAAAGATGACCCTGATTAAATGTCTGTTCTGACAGTGATCAAAGATGACCCTGATTAAATAGCTGTACTGACAGTGATCAAAGATGACCCTGATTAAATAGCTGTACTAACAGTGATCAAAGATGACCCTGGTTAAATGGCTGTTCTGACAGTGATCAAAGATGACCCTGGTTAAATAGCTGTACTGACAGTGATCAAAGATGATCCTGATTAAATAGCTGTACTGACAGTGATAAAAGATGACCCTGATTAAATGTCTGTTCTGACAGTGATCAAAGATGACCCTGATTAAATGGCTGTACTGACAGTGATCAAAGATGATCCTGATTAAATAACTCTACTGACATAGGTTAAAGATGACCCTAATTAAATGGCTGTTCTGACAGTGATCAAAGATGACCCTGATTAAATAGCTGTACTGACAGTGATCAAAGATGATCCTGATTAAATAACTGTACTGACATAGGTCAAAGATGACCCTAATTAAATGGCTGTTCTGACAGTGATCAAAGATGACCCTAATTAAATAGCTGTACTGACAGTGATCAAAGATGACCCTGATTAAATAGCTGTACTGACAGTGATCAAGGATGACCCTAATTAAATACCTGTACTGACAGTGATCAAAGATGACCCTAATTAATGGCTGTACTGACAGTGATCAAAGGTGATCCTGATTAAATGACTATTCTGACAGGGGTCAAAGATGACACTTATTAAATGGCTGTTCTGACAGTGATCAAATATGACCCTGAGTAAATGGCTGTTCTGACAGTGATCAAAGATGACCCTGATTAAATAGCTGTACTGACAGTGATCAAGGATGACCCTAATTAAATACCTGTACTGACAGTGATCAAAGATGACCCTAATTAAATGGCTGTTCTGACAGTGATCAAAGATGACCCTAATTAAATGGCTGTACTGACAGTGATCAAAGATGATCCTGTTTAAATAGCTGTACTGACAGTGGTCAAAGATGACCCTGATTAAAAGTCTGTTCTGACAGTGATCAAAGGTGATCTTCAGTGGTTATATCTATATGTTTCGAGGTGCAAAGGCCAAGGTCAAGGTCAGTGTTACTATTTATGGGTAAGCCATGTTTATAGTTTCTTCATTTCAGAAAAGTTACTAATAAAGTATATGCAAACAAGTTTGTGTTTTAGGGCTTTACTGCTTTAAGGTGAAGGTCACCTCTTTTTTTTTGGTTAACATCACTTGAGTGTTTCATATCTGAATGGAATTTGATAAAACATCATACAATAGTATGGAATTGTTTTGATGGAGTTTATGTTTCAAAGTATTAATAACGACCAAACTCATTCTCCAATATTTTATATGTAGTCTTTGTCAATTGAGCAACTTTTGAAATTCTTTTGAAAAGTGTTAATGTTCACATGTTACGATGAAGATTTGGAAATAATATAGATGCACTGAAATTCATGATCTCAGAATGAAGTTGCTGTTTCTTTTTAGAGAAAAAAAACAACAACAAAAAACAACACGTAGTGACACATTAATCCAATGGGCAATAATTCTGCACATACCAAATATTAGACTCTGAACTAGTTAGTGCATAGGCTGACCTGACAGAAAACATAAAGCTTTGTCAACTTTGAGCGCACACTGCAGGGAGATATGATGTTTTGTCTCCCGTACATGTGATGTGTTTAAGCAAATCAGATAAACTGTAGATGGGGGTATATAATATTATACATTAACTAACATGATCTTAATGCGTACTTACTCTCACCAGGGTTGGTTTAATTTTGTGATGTGTTTAAGCAAATCAGATAAACTGTAGATGAAGTATATAATATTATACATTAACTAACATGATCTTAATGCGTACTTGTTCTCGCCAGGGTTGGTTTAATTTTGTGTCAGCTGTTTCTTCATTGTTAGATAGTTTTATAATTGAGAGATTGATTCTCCTATTTAAAATATAACTTTTGATGCAGTTCAGTGATTGATTTTTTGTAACACTTGGTAGGATCAGCACCCGTTTATTGATGCAGTAATTAGCGGTCTAAATGAAGCCCTTCCATATTTATATCTATACAAAAATGCCCACACAGCTTTATGATACATTGACATATTGTAGTACATTTATAGAGCGTCATTTTAAGCATCACCATTACCACCAATTATGAGCACATTAAACTCAGGTCTCCTTTACAAGCCTGCAACCATTCCAATAAAAGTAGTTTGATGGAGCCGTTTATACCCTGCAATTAACCAATTTCTTTCATTTTCAAAGACGTAAAAGACCAGGGGCGTAGATTTTCCACAGTGAATAAGGAATTGGTCACCATCATTATTATATTCTGTAAATTGATTATCAATATATAGACCTTTCGGACTTATTTTGGACACAACATCTATTCAGGGAATAAATGGTTTTATAATTGTCACCGGTAAAAATCTCATTCATGACTTTGTATAATTTAGCCATGAAATAATGTTCTAGTATTAAGACAATGTGTGAAATAAAGAAGCTGACTAATCATTTACAGGCAGCATTGTTAGTTTTAGATAAAAAAAGGCCTAAGTCAAACTAAAGTAAATGATAGTTTGTTCGTTTAATTCTTAAGAGCCCCCATCAACACTTTTAAGTGCAGAGTAAATATACTTCAATTTTGAAAACAATAAGGAATACAAATTTATTGCTTATTTTTTTATGCTTGAACATTTTTATTATGGAGACTGTCTGAAATCTTCTGGATAGATTTTTATTAGGAACACTCCTTTCTGTTACATTCTTTATGTCTCTAATTTAATGTTACACCCAATTACAACTTCTAAAAGTAAAGATGTTTTTGGAGAGGAGATCAAGACAGAATTTTATTTCAAAATATTTATACCCCAACTTTGACTGAAGTCAGGGGTATGTAGCGTTTACTTTGTCCATGTATGTGTCCGTGCACTGTTGTTTCTGGAGCATACCCAGCCACTGTTTTATGAAATGACATCAAGCTGTTTACAGGTACATCACAGGAAGGAGGTGTGTCCATTGTCGTATCTTAAAATGAAGTTACTGAGACCTCTATGTGACCTTTTGACCTTTACTAAACATACTAAAATGCAGTGTAATGCAGGTTTCTAGAGCATATCTCAGCTGCTGTTTAATTAACGGGTACCAAACTTGGTATACAGGTATAACACTGGAAAGATGTGTGTCACATACTATAATGAGATTCAAGCAGCCTCTTTTTGACCTTTGACTTGATATTAAGACTAAAATATAGTGTAACACTAGTTACAGAAGCATATCTTGGCTACAGTTTCATGTATGACTCCGGACTTAGAGGGTCAGGGTACTTACTATGTTGTCAAGTAATTTATTGCTTGATAAAATTGGTTCACTGCGACCTTAACATGATCTCAAGTTTTAATTACAGCACAAGGCAGGTTTCCAGATGATATCTTGGCTTTGAATCATTTTATGCATGAACGTCAGCCTTGATGTGAAGGAACATCCTGGTCATGATATTGTCGTATTTACAGCACTATATATAAACTAACAGATATGCAGGGTTATCTGCCCATATTTTGAGTTCAATGTAGTTTATGAATAAAATACATTTCAGATGTCTCAGATACAAGGTGTTCTTACTAACGTAAAGCCTGGGTTTTACCAATACTAGTGTATACCTGAGCATAATCAGGTTCAAAAGCTGCTGAAATTCTCTTTATTAGTCCTGTCTGTAATGGATGTGCTTAACACTTTTCTCACAACATGTTACGAGATCATGTCCCAGCAGTGTTTTGCATATTTCCACACTAGACTAATCAAGTATTGGCATCAATAAACTCATTGCCCCCTTGTATCACATCATATCCATCGGCTACAGGTCCCACAGAATGACTCCTCTGGGCGTGCTGGACCATTCAGTACCATAATTGACCTGTTCTACTCCAGAACACCTTCCGCGTAGGGGTGGTCACTCACCCTCAGCATTGGTCAGTCTAGTGGTCAGCTTGACCTTCTCTACACCTGACGTGTATTGATTTGGCGCCTGTTAGGATGCTGTCCGACTGTCTCGGGCCATTAAAATCGGAGCTTACCCGTCTACTAAATATGAAAGCTTAGTCTACTCATCTCTATACTGATGACATTG